TAACAAGTCACGCTCTTGCTAATGCGCTGGGAGTTTTGTAGCCAATTTAGGCTTTTAAATTGCACATTAAATAGCCAATCAAATTTCGAAGTCAGGTGATGTAAAGAAACCTTTCGTTGGTAGGTTTTTCTCTTTTTCTTTGACTGAAATTTTATGGTCTGCATTGTTGGATTCTCTATAAGGTCTAAAACAATGGAAGATGAACCGTGGCTCCCAGAGGAAGATTCGAGGCAATTGATTTATGAAGTGATTATGACCGTAAAATATCAATATGAAAAAATTCAGAGAAATATGAAAGATACTCTCTAAGGTTAGTTTTTACTTTTGATATGATAAGCTCAGAATCTAGATAACCAGATTGAGTAGATATCCAGAGCCTGCAAATCAAATGTCTAACCTTAGACGCATAGGGGTATGTGTTTGATTTGGTTAATTAAGGTAGACATCAATACGCAATCCAGCAATCACGTTGATTTCACTTGACATAATCTGATGGGTGTGCTCACACAGAGTCATCTCGAATTCATTGGTTTTAGCTAAAATCTAGCAAAAAGTTTCTTCTGCACTAGTTTGATGATGCCTTCGAAGGTGTGTGTAGTATTAGGGATATGGAAATTGAAAAGCAGGTCGAACAATTACCCACTGAAGAAATTGAAACAAATATACGAAAATTAGAGTGGAATCTTTATAGAAACAATGCCTCATATGCAGAAATGTTGTGAATATATCTTAAAAAAGTCACAATTTCTGATCTTTCATGGAAAGATCCACTAGCTAGTCAAGTATTTGTTTGGTTACTGTTTCTGATATCAACCAAACATACTTCAAGTTTTGCACGGGAAACGCCCTGATAGTGATTCCAATTTGATATAACAACTATCAAAAGATGCGGAAGATGAATATAAATTCTTTATGGAGCCAGTAAATATATGGATGTATGTGAAGAATTTGCTGATAACTATAAAAATGACTTTGTTAAGGATGTGCTAGTGAACTTTAACACAGAAGAAGTTCTCAGAAGTGTTACGAGTGGAATTCTTGAATATTGTGAGTATTAAATAATTATACACTGTGCAATATACTCAATATTCTATATTAATAATTTCCAGCCAGTATTGTCATGTTACTATGTCCAAGCATCCAAATGCTTGGACGTCCAAGATTGTCCAAGGCATCTCTAAGCTTTAATAATTAATAAATTTATTTAAAAAATATATGATTATATATATTTTTAGGTGCTAATTATATTTTGCTTAAAAAATAATATTGATTACCTTAATAAAATTTTGAGAAATTTTAATTTATTTTTTTGTCCAAGCATGTCTAATGACAACTCTGAATCCAGCCTTCGGAAATAAATTTGTTAAATCACAGAATGAAGGGACGTATATGACTGATATTATAGTCCCTATCATTAAGCTTGTATTAAGAAATCTTCCAGTAAGAAACTCTGGCATTGTTAGCATGTAAGTATTACCATTAGTGTTCTTTTAAGAATAATTTACACTTATTCTTATCTGTTATGTTTGTTTACATAGAGCAGAGTGGCAGAGCATAGCAAGTAAAGACCAAAGGGAAAAACTGGAAAATGCTCTGACATAAAGTTTGTGGTGAAGCATTAAAAAAAAAAAATCTATGAACTGAGTGCTCCGGTATTTTTTGACAAGCGGAAAGATGATGATTGGGTAATGTTGTGGAGAAAAATGATGATATGAATAATGCTTAATGTAAATTTCAGAAAGCTAAACTCGATATGACAATATTATAAATTCTTAAAAGGTTTCATTTTTAATTTATACTATAATATTTTTTGCTAGAAAATTATTAATTTGAATTATGAGGTTAGCTTTATTGCCCTATCTTAAAATTTTTTAGAGAAAAATTTTTTGAATTTATCTATAAATTTACTAAATTCATTACATTACTGCAATACGTTTAAATTTATATTTATTTATTTATTTAAATATTTGATAAATATTATGGCTTTTTTGCATATTATAATTTCTGTAATGGCTTAATATACAAGCCGGGTCAAGCCAATGAATCTCTAGTATTAAACATAATAATTGAGAGATTCTAATGGCTTATTTGCCTATTTGTAATTTTTGTAATTGGCTTTTTTTAAAAACTAAATATTTAAGCCAGGTCAAGCCAATAAACACCAGCATTAAATATAAATAAAAAGCCTCAATAATGATTTATTGATTGGTTAAATAATCTAAAATTATTGAGTTATTTTTATTATTTTTATTAATAGCTTAGCTTGATCGAAAACAAATTTTCAGTAGTAATTTTTTAACAAGAGCACTAGGGATTCATAAATTTTCAGCAATCCGTCTTTTTTTTTTTTTACAAGAACACTAGCGCTAGGGTTTCGTCATTTTGGGGCTTAGGTTTCGTCTAACACCTATGGTTATGATTACCAACCCTGATCAATGCATAAAATTCATGGTTTTTTTTTCAGATTTTCAATGTGGCATATTTAAAAAATAAATAAATTTTTTATAAGTCAATAGAAATGAAATAAGAAAGACAATGCTGGCAAAAAGGAAGAATGTAATCTTGGCTGTCTTTACTTTCTTTTTCTTTTTTTTAATATTAAAAGAAACTCAATACTTAAATGTGCTTCAAACAAATAAAAATCTTTCTACAATGGACGTGGTTATACCAGTAGCAATCAAGGATAAAGTAAAATTAAAAAAATGCTTCCAAGGAATCTTGGAAAATTCTTTAACACCGATAAATAATGTTTACATAATTTCTAATAATGAGACCATATTAAAAGATCTTTTAAACAATTATACAACCAACGTAAAAATCATTTTTATATCTGAGACACATTTTCCTTTTTCTAAAGAGGATATAAAAAGGATTTTACATTGGAAAAAATCCAAATATAATCATGTTACTTGGTATTATCAACAACTTTTAAAGTTTTACATTTTTAGGGTTATACCTGACCTTTTTGAGAACGCTTTAATCCTAGATTCTGATTTTATTTTTAAAGAAAAGGTTAGTTTTGTGACAGATGATAGTAAAGCCATATTAGCATATGGTTATCCTTTTAAATGGATTCTTAATACTACTAAATACCCTGAAAATGTTAATCATAGTCATATTGATTTTGCAAAAAGATTAATACCAACATGGGAAATTATAAACTCTTTTAGTGGTATGCATCATCACTTACTTTTTCAAAAACATATTACCGAATCTCTTTTTAAATATGTAGAAACATATCACAAGAAGGATTTTTGGAAAGCTTTTATGGATGCAGTTGATATAAATAAATGGAATGCTGCTTCTGAATATGTTATATATTTTCATTTTGCCTTAAAAAATTATCTGAATGATTTAGAATTAAGACACCTTAGCGCTTATGATCTTATTTATGATTCAGAGGAAAACGGTAATGATATTCTACAAATTTTGGATCAATTTGCTCAATATAACGAATATAAAGCAGTTGGATTTCATTCATTTCTTAATCTTAAGGAAAGATTGAAGACGATGGATTATGTAACAGAATCATTGCAGAAAAAAATGTCGAATGAAAAACCTTTGTGCTTTATTTTAAAATTAAGCAATGGTATGTTGCAAATTGCAAGTTATGGTGATTTTAAAAAAGAAAATAATTTAGACAATTATCCGTTTTACTAAAGTAGAATTTTGTGTTGTAAAATTTATATTTGTTATTATTTATTGTAAGTTTTTTTTTTTATTATTAGAATAAGTTAACTGAATATAACAGGAGCTCATGTAAAATATTAAAATATCTGTGAATGATGTATAGTGTATTACAATATATAAAACTATAGTAATAAATAAACTTTCTTACAAAAAAAAATATCAAGAATAAGTGGTAAAAATTACCTAAGTTGTTCTTAAACTTTTAAACAAAATAAAGCATCGCGTTATTGCAGGAGGCTTTGAGAATTAGTTAAAAATGATTTATGATAAAGTGAATTTTGCATTTACTTAATGTGTTAAAAGAATGCGAAGGTTCTTGAATAATTATATTAGAACAGTAATCAAATATATACAGTATGCTCTATAATAAATTTTTCATGGAAAAATAAATTCTTTTTGTCAGTCATAATAATGGAACTATAGAGATACAATTTATATTATGAATCTTTGATCAAAAAATGTGAGTTATTCTTAAATTTACAAATGATACCATGTTAATCTTAAGCATTACAGCAGCTAGATGATAGTAGTACCATGATATATTAGAGTCATGATCTAGATTTATTTTTCACAGTTCTATATACGATAAAACTGACAAGAACCAGTTAATGGTATTAGCCAATGTTAACCTCAATTTACCTTTAAAAACTAAGAGACGGGATAGTAATAGGGAAATCATGTGTATATAGTAATACAGGGCCACACTCGATACTTTGCAAAAACTTATAGTTTTTGCTAAATATATTTAAAATATAACAAAGTATAGATAAATTTAGTTTTGATTATGTAAATTAATTTTGATAATTTTATCTTAATAGTTTTTTTATAATATAATGTATATTAGATATAGGGTTTCGATTTCAGTTCTCGCAAGGTTTTTGGGAGTCCTGAACATTTTTACTTAGAATACCCGATCCAGTTTACTTAGTACGTTTTTGAGATATAGCGCCCCTAGCGATGTAACAGGGGGGCAAGTTAGCAATAGTCATCTTAATAATATCTAATTTGTTAAAATATTTTTAACAGTTAATAAAAATTTTTCAAAAGAAAAATTACAAAATTAATCATAAATACGTATTTAAAAATTGAAGTTATAATTGAAATTTAAAATAGACAAAATATACATAAAATTGGACAAAGAATATTTTTTGGTAGTAAACAAACAAATAGTTTCATAATAAAAAATTGTAATTATATAAATAATTTTTTAAAAAAACCTTAATTAGACTATACAAATTTAATTACTTGGTTTTCATAACATGAAACTTTTAAATAGACCCGGCCGGCCGGCTTTTTTTTTTTAAATTTCATATATAAAATTTTATAAAAATATATATTTCTTTAAAACCCACTCGGTTATTATAGCTGTTATAAATTTTGGAACATCTGGTAAAAAAAATTGACCGAATGATTCTAGGCCGATTCGATAAGTTTAATAAGTTTATAAACTTCCGATTAGTATATAAAGTGATTGTTTTTTAATACATAATGATAAAATTCTGACCACCACTACAATGTCAACACATTCGAAGTTAGGTTTTCATTTAAATGCATGTCCGGTATGCTTAGTGTGTTTAGTATGTACGAAAACTTATGCAGAAGATTGTTCTTGCCAGCCAATGGATCTTAATAAAAAACATAAAAAAAGGTTCTGAATATAAGATAGCCTTTCATAATAAATACATAACATGAGTAGTCGCTAATAATAAAAAAGTTCGTTATGATCGAGAATTTATTAACTGGATTAAAAACAATACAATTCGAGTTATAATTCCAAACAACCAAGATTTTATCAACATTTGTCAAAGCTGCATCGAGAATTATAATCAACGAAATCAAAGTAAAATTTTATGCGTTATGTTATTTATTTAAAAGGTTTAATATGTAATAATTATTATAAAATATAGGCCAAAAAGAAAACCAGTATGAATCAGATAAAAATGTTGAAACAATAGACTTGACGACTAAAGAACCTTTAGCCTGTTCAATAACAAATATTTTACAAATATCTAATTTGTCTGAAGTAATCGTGGCTAAATCTGAATTACCAGACTTTGCTGAAGCAATAGCAATAGTAGCTGAATCTAATACAGCATCCAACTTATCTGAAAAAACAGTAACTTAATCAAAAATTATTACACCAAAAGAACTAGCTAAAAGTAAGATATATTATATATTTTATATATTTAATATTATATATTTTTTAGATTTATTTTATTTTATTTTATCATTTGGGTTTTTGCCTAGCAAATCAGGGCTTAGAGAGGTTTTAACTAGAATTAAGATTTTTAGTAGATTATATTCCTAAGTATATACTTTACTCATGGTAATAATTTAGACACTTATTAGCATATTATAACTTAATACAATCTTGTACACAGTTTTTTTTTATTTAATCTAGAGTTTTATTCTAAATTTAGATCAGCAGTTAGTATTGCAATTTTTTACATGTCATAATTGGCTAACTGATTTTCAGAATTTATAATGTAGTATTTGCATAATCTATAAATCATCAATATTCTAATTTTACACAATACCAATTTTGCATCAAAGTGATTAATTGTTAATATTTACAAATAAAAAATTTATTTCTAAGCCCTGATTTGCTAGGCAACAACCTATTTGTTACACTAATATCTTATGATCAATTTGAAAAACCATATAAAAAACTTGATGGGGCATTAGTAATTCTATATGATCTTGAAAATATAAAAAACTTTAGAAATATTAAAGAAGAAATTTTATCATGCTCACTTTTTAAGCATTGAAAAAAGTTTAAATTAGGCCAGATTTGTTATTAAATTTCAAATACAACCAAAGCAGATATTACAATTTGAAATTAGATAGAGCTATTACGGTATTTATTTCTAAAGTTAAATATAAAAAAAATCTTTTATCAAGAAAATAATAAATTTATTAGAGCTAGCAAGGTTTGTATAAGTATTAAAATAGTTTAATATTTAAATTTTATTTATATTAATTATAATTTATACATTATATAATTTATTAATCGATACTTTAAACTGAATCCAACACTAATAAAATATTGAATAATATCAAAAAAAAAAGATTTATAAAAATCTTTTGTTATGTGATATACATATTCAAGGTTGTTTAATTTTTGATAATGGTCAATATCTAAAATTGAATAGTGATTTAATATCATTGTGAGCTTATACAAATGTAAGCTTTTTTTATAATTTATATATTGAATATTTATTTATAAATATAATATATATATATATAAAGATAAATAAATGCAAGGTATTGATGAACAAATACTTCCAAATATTCTATTATTGACAAAAATATCCAATTTCTAAATAATCTTCAAATAAAGATATATTATTACAGTATTGTGTATATTTAAAATTTATAATACATACATATATAATTTTATATTTATAAAAAATATATAATTAACTTAGATTCTTTAATTAATTCTTCTGCTACAACTACTTCTACTTCTATATTAATGGTTCCTATACCAATATTATATTCTTTAACTATTTATATTAAAAAAAATTACTACTAAAATCCAATATTTACATTAGTAAAAATTTGATATTTCAGAATTTGCTTAATTATGTATTTCCTAATAGCTTTTCAAGTGGTAAACAATTTATAATTAAATTGTTATTAGAAATAGATAAGCAACTTTTTTTGCCTAAACAAGTTATAAGTTATATATTTAACGAGATCTTGAGAATATTAAAGTAAAATTTAATAATTTATTCAATTAATTAATATTATTAAATATTTGTATATTAACAATAAATACTGTATAAGTAATTGATATAGCAATAGTATAATATATATAAGTATGCAAAAATAAATAAATAATATTTTAAAATATATTTATAAAATGCTAGTCATGATCTTGTTTGTAATTAATTTAGAAATAATTAATTTGATTCTGAAATTATCTAATATATTTATCTAGCATGTTGATAATATGCATAAGCCAATTTTTTTCAATTGTTATACAACTAAAATCTAAAATATTTAAAAAATCTTTTATCAATCCTGCTCTAAATAGTTTTTTATATAAAAAAAGTTTGCTTAATCTATATATATAAAACAAGAAATTCTTAAATTATTAATTAATATTAAAATTACTTTTAAATATTATAAATTATTTACTAAATTGAAATTCAAAGAGTAAGCAGGTTATAAATATCTTGCAAATACTAACTTTTATATATAATTGTATTATTTAAAACTAATATTCTATATTATTTAGAAAATGTATTCATCTTTAGTATCTATTAAAAATATATATTTATTATATCAATATCTGTATTTATATTAAATAAAATTACTTACTAATATATACTTAATAAAATTTTTATAATTATTAGTATTTATAGAACCTTAATTTAGACATATAAAATATGAAAAGCTTAAAGTTTGTTTTTAATCATAAAAGTACTGATCAACTTTAAATTTTTTTTTAAAAAAAAAAACTATGCAAAAAAAATTTTTATAAAAAAATTTTTTATGCAAAGTAATAAGATATTGTGAAAAATTCTAACTAGAAATCTTAAAACACATCTAAAACAAAGTATATTTGAAAGAAAACTAGACTTGAAGTATTAAAGATATATACAAGATACTGAATTTAGGTATAAAAGGCTGAAAAATATATTTAAAAAAAACAAAGTACAAAAAAAAAACTTTAAAGTGCAAAAAAAAAGCTCTGAGTGCTCTAAGCACACAGCTTTCGAGTACAACTCTAATAAATCTCTGAAATGCAAAATGTAAGATCTTTGATTGCAAGTATAATTTATTTTAAGTGAGTTCAAAGTCAATTGTAATACTTCAAATTTTGTTATCGAGTTTTGATTGGTTACTGATCATAGCAGTCAATTGACATGCATGACCCTGGACCATCAGCTTGATTGATCTGCCAGGCTTTGCGGAACTGATTTACTTATTTTTGTGAGTAACACAAACCAAAAAAGGAAATC